ATCCCCCAAAACCCCCGGAAATTGGTTTTCCCGTTCCCCCGGGGGGGGGGCTCCCCCCCCCACCCCAAAATTGGGCCCCGAGAACGGGCCCTCGGAAAACCACGGGGGGGGAGGGCAACCCTTGGCCCTCCCACCCCAAAAACGGGGGGGGGGGGGGGGGACAAATATCCCGGTTTTTTTTTGCCCCCAAGTTTTTTCGGTTTCCCAAGGTCCCCCTTTGGGGGGGGGGGGGGGGGGCTCTCACCGAGGTTCTTGACGAGGCCGCAGCTTTCTCCCTCGGGGGTGTCCGCGGGGCAGAGCATACCCCACTGGCTGGGCTGCAGAGCGCGGGGCCCCGAGACCTTGCGCTCTTTCTGGAACTGGGAGTCCACCCTCGTCATCATGCCTAGGGACGAGATGAAGCTCAGCCGTGAGAGCACCTGAGTTATATTGTAACATGATGCTATTGGTTTCGTATTTTTTTGTTGATGTTGTGGGCTTTCGTTGAGTCTGTTGTTGGTGGTCGGTTTCATTCCCATGGTTGATGATTGCTGTTGGTCCTCTCGTAATAGCCCTCTCGTCTCAAGGCGGCTCTCTCGGCCGTGGCCACAAGCCAAGCGCACAAAAGAAAACGGGTGCCGAGATGGCGAAGATGACCGCTAAAGAGGGGGGTGGTCACACATACCCGAAAGACCGCTGAGGACGATTCCCTCCCTTCGCGACGACCTAGATCTGCTTAACAAACCACAACGCGCAACACGCCGGACACGGACACCTGGATCCACACGCCACTCAGAGAGCAGAGCCCGTCCAACACAAGAAGGCGCCCGCCCGTCTGCCACACATGACATGACGCCCAAGCAGTAGCAGCATCGACAGCAAAAGAAAAAAACACCGGGTTGCATAACCCTGGTAAAGTCGCAAGATACCTGCGTAACCCCCTGCCTGTCGACCTTGAACCGCTTCAGGACCCAGTTTCCCGATGAGATGGCGTGCGTGAATCCGTTCGTGATCGTGGTGGAACCCTCCAGAAACTTGCCTGTTAGCAAATGTGTGCATTCCAGGAAAAACACACGGAAAAAGCAAAACGAACACGTGCGTTCGCCCACGTTTGAACTTGGTTTTTGCACAACACCACTTGCCATAGCCTACACGCACAGCTAAAGGGATTGTTGTTGTTTGTTGTTTTCACATTAAAAACCGTTCCGGTCTGTGCTCAGTACCTTCTAATATCCGTACCGGTCCAACACCTTCCACGGTCACAGGCCGACTGCTCAAAAAAGGGTACACACTTCCAGAAATCAGACGTTGGACGCAAAAAAAGGAGCAGCCAACGAAAATATGAACAAGTCACGAAGGCAAGCTAGCCTACGTCTTTTAAGCCCCCTGTAGAGAAAATAACCCGTCCGGCATAACTGTGGTTGGTGGCGTGCAACAATGTACGTGACCGTCGTAGGCACCGCGTAGAGATGTACCTAGCCGTGTCGTGACCAAACTTATGTACGTACGCAACGCAAGGATACCCGGCAATCACTCGAGAGCTTAATACGGACGTCTTGCGCAATAAAAGACGTTTCTGAAAACGTCACCACGCCATTCATGTGCACCAACCAGAACAAATCCAACAACGAATCGGAAATATTGGACAAAAAAAAAACACATGAGGATATCCAACAATCGTTAGGTAGGTTGTGAACCAAAAACATCCTTTCACTAAAAGATGGTTGAAAACAAACAACATTCCATTCGTGTGCCATCAACAAGAGCACACCCGAAGAATGAACCGAAAGGACAATTAAAAAACCCACGTAATATATATTTGTACCAATGTCGAAAGCCGCGGCGCGGTTGGGCTTGGACAGCACCATGTCTGCGTTCCTCTTGAGCTCGCTGTTGAAACGCTTGAAGAGGTCCTCAAACAGCAGCGAGATCAGCTGACCCGCGAGCTCCAGACGCTTGTTCCCGTAGTAGTCCTAGGCGTTCGGAACGAGCGATGTAACGGGTTCGTTGGCCAACAAAACATACAGTACTGACGTCTCGCCAAAAGGATGTATTTGCTATTCTGTATGCATACAACCTCCACAATCACGTTAAAAATGCGGCCCCCCGTCCTAGTCATCGTCGCTCGTTTCTCGGTCTCCAGCCCCTGCCCTTCCCCCCCCCAAAAAAAAACGAACATACATGTATCGTGTAAACAACTTTTAGGTTAGTAGCTATCCTCATCTTCGATCGACTTTGCGAACCTTATCGTCCACGGTGGAGGGGTCGATGACGGTCATGAGCACCCTCCGGACGATGTGTGCCGTGTAGACGATCTTCGCGCGGAAGTCGTAGCCCACCTACGCATCGCAGCACAGCAGAGCAGGTGGTTCGTTCGTTGCGAGTGCAGTCAGCCTACACAAGACGGGGAGACGCAGTCAAAAGCAAAATAGCAACGTGCATGATGGGTGCCAGGCTAAGTTTTCAAGGCATACCGCAAATGAGGTCCTTCCGTTGGGCAATGACGGAAGTATGTAGATAAAACCGTCTACAATACAACCGCAGAAGCAGGGACGTTGGTTTCTTTGTGTCTCCCGTTCTCCACACCAGTTCTCTACCCCTCCCCTCCGCCCCGCTTTCTGCCTCTGTCTTTCTGTCTCTGTGTCTATGTCTGTGTCTGTGTCTGTATCTCTCTCTGTGTCTCTCTCTGTGCCTCTCTCTTCTCTTTCTCTCCCTCTCTCCCTCTCTGCCTGTCTCTGTCTCTGTCTGTCTGTCTCTATTTGTCTGTCTCTCTCTCTCTGTCTCTCCCTCTCCCCTCTCCCTCTGTCTCTCTCCCTCCCTC